CTCGCGCTGGCGACGCCGATGCCTCGCGGCAGGCCCAAGCCTTCTACCGAGAATATGCTTCGCATTGCCGCGCGCAGGATGGTCGCGTCCGGAAGCGCCATTCCCAACTGACGGCATCCCCGAGCAACCGCCCCGTACTTCTGCAGCTCGATCCGGGCAGTCTCCGCCGATGAACAGGGCCGATAAGCGCCGGCGCCTTCGCGCCCGCCACCCCGGAGCAGCGCGGCTTCAAGAGTAAGCGGAGAACGCCCTGGAGCTCGTCGCGGCCCCTTGGGCCCCCCTCAGCGACAGCTGCTTCTTCAGCTGATGGGGCAATGGGGTCGAGGCGCAGGGCTCGATCCGCGCCCCTATCTGGCGCCGCTTCTGCCGGCCCCAGGGCCCAGCTGCAATCCCCCCCCAGGCCATGACGGGGCTCGACTGACATCGGGGCGAGTCTCTTCAGCCTGCCCCCAACACCGAACCCGCCAGTCGACGGCTGCTGGCCCAGCGGTCCCCAGACTCTGAAACGCCGCGTAGCGCCGCTTTCGGACATGCTCTTGACGGCCCCGCATCGCCCCGAGCTCCAACGCAGGGAGGATGAAGTCCAGCTCGGTAGGGGAGAGGCACAACACAGGGACGAGCATCTCCCCCAGCCCTTGAGAACGGCTGCCTTGCCCCCCTGCGGGCGCCGCCCCGGCGTGCGGGGCGTGGCTCCCGGGAACTCCCGGTGGCGCCTGTCCAAGGTACTGGGCGCCGCCCCCTGACCCTCCTCCGGCCGGCCCGTCTAGAACGAGAAGGCATCGTCAAAGACGTCGTGGAGCTTTTTCACGCTGAAATGCGCGTTGGGGCCACGCATGCATGGCCGGACTCGGGCCTGCCGTGCCTCCCAGCAGCATGTGCTCCTGTGTCCTGACGCCTCCTCCCGAGGCTGCGATTCTCCCTCGCCCTTGAGCCCCCGCGGACCTGATGTCGAAGGCCGCCGCGGGTGGGCCTAGGGAAAGCGCGAGCCCTGACGGGACTGGTGCAGCCCGGGGTCCTTGACGAGGGATTGCCTGCTGCAGTGTGGAATGCCTGTCGGGGATGTCCCGTTGCGCGTAAGATGCCAAGACTGCTGTGGTCAGGTCGCCTGGCGGCGCCTGCACAGCCACGCGATTGGCGAGCGCTGGCACCTGAGGCCCAGTTGAAAGTGGGACTCGCGTTGGATAAGCCACAGGCGGTGGTGTCGCTCACAATGCGTCAGTGGTTGGCAGAATCGCACCCGTGACGTTGCTCCAAAACGCGCCATCATCTTCTCTTGACTCCGTGTTCCCATTCAGGGGAGAGCTGCCCGAACTGTGTAGAACATGTTGTGCCGCCAGGGGTCCGGGCTCAGCCGCTACAGGCAGCTGCGCGCCGCCAGAACAGTTCTGACCCTCTGCCTCGATCTGATCAAGGCAAGCAGCCGTCTCTGCCAAGCCTGCGGTGCACGCGCGATCAATGCGCGTCACAGCTAGTTCGATGGATTCGATTTTCCCGTGCGCGTGCTTGGCGATCTCTGGGGAACCTGTCTGGGCAACCTGCTTCCGTCCAGGCGGAAGTCCGAGAGCCGACTGCCACGCGACGCCGAGGGGGCTGAGGGAGAGCCGACGCACTTTCCTCGACCGACCGCCTCGTGACGTCCGAGGGCGAGGGGGCAACGAATGCGCCTTCGTCGACCGACCGTCCCGTGACACCCGGGAACGGGGGGACAGCCAGCGCAACTTCGTCTGCTCCAAGAGTGCCTGCCAGAGGCGTAGACGCAGGTGGTTGTCCTGCGTTCGGTGCTCCTTCTGACCCTTCTGCCAACTTGAAAGACTGATCCGCGTTGGGCCCGTACTGCTGAGCGTAGTCTGTAAAACCTGGAGGCCCTACGCAATCTCCAGCCCGAAGGTGTGGTAAATGACCCTTGTTCGAATGGCAAGCCGCACAGTGTCCTTTCATTTTTGCCCTCGCAGGGGTCATGGTGATGGCGGGGCTTGGTCGTCACCAACGAAGTGCAGGCGGAGCCACCGTTTCGGGACTGGTGCTGATGGGTGTGGTAGTGGAGGCGTTGGTACTTGCAACGCTGGTGCTGGTGTTGCCGGCGTGGCGCCGTCTGATACTGATTGTGGTGCAGGTACCGCGTCCGTCGGGGCGTTCTGAAGCGTTCGATGGGAACGGTCTCGACCCCCTGGATTGGCGGCAGCACCTTGTGCAGCTGCACCGCCCGCAACAGCCCACCGCGGCTCTTGTCACAGCAACGGCAACTCCCCCCACCGCGGCCCCAACAGGCGTGGCAAGTCCCAAGGGTGGTGTCGCTCTGGAACTCCAGGTCGCCAGCTGCTCCACGTAGTAGCGTTTCCACTGTTCCTTCATATGCGGGTCGTGCTGCTGAGAGTATTGCATGATTACTTGCATCATGCGCTCGCCGCAAAAGGGGGCGCCCTGGAAACGCTCCACCTGCAAACAAGATACGTGTCCGTAGGACGCGCATTGGCTGCAAGTCACCGGATATATGTTGACCACGGTGTGGCATTTAGGACAATCGCACTGAAAACTCTGGCACGTGCTAAGATATTCGACGCATTGTAGTGACGTTGGGTTCATAACCCTCGCATAGCTGCTACTCGGCCGCGCAGGCCGGGCGAGAGCTAAATCAAACACGTGTTCCTCCATGATCGTATTGTGTCGTGTGGCAACGATAAGATCGTTTTGTTCTTCCTTATTTAGTTCGCACGGTCCCTCTGGCGGACAGAAGGCTTGAGCCAAATAGCGACGGATGTTTTTTTCTTCAGGCAGTGGCGGCTTGGCCACACCAACTTTCCAATATACATATAGTGGTACGATGAAATATTCTTCAACAACTGCAACACTTTACCGCAGAACCACATTACGGTGGTGCATTTGATGCACACCTGTCGGTTGATGGCGCGAGAGGATTAGACCCTGCCGCACCGGCAGCATCGCGTCGCGCGGGCAGTCTCTGGCCGAGCACAATCGCACGGGCGTTCTGTGCCAACCTCCTGCGTCGCCCGATTTTTAATAAGAAAAGTATTATACACAATGCGGAGACGCGACACGCTTGTATGTTACAATGGGCTGCGGCTACAGAGCGCTCGTCCGGTGACACTCGAGGGCGAGGGGACGTAGAGCAACCAACCGATGACACCCGAGGGCGGATGCGCAGCGGTGCGGCAACCTGCTCACTCACGACGGCACCATGGTACAAATCATGCTGACATGTGTATAATTATTCACATGTGTCGGGGGTCTCTACGCAAGCGGTACCGTGTGGTCCTGCCACCGTGCCGCTACCGGTGCCGTGCGGTCTTGATACCGTACCGGCGTTGCCGATACTGGTGGTCCTAACCGTACCGGCACCGCATGCTCTTGCCACCGTACGTCGGCCGATCCCGAGCGACTGGCGGCGCTCAACCTTCCAGTCACGAGCATTTGCTGAGCGTGCCGCGGCGGCGGCCCAGGCGACACGCTGTGCCCTGCGAGCGGGTAGCGTGTCGCTCGGCTCCGAAGGGCGGAAGGCGGGGAGAGGCTCGGGACGTCGACGCCTGGGGACTGCGAAGATGGCGTGTCGCACCGAGGCGTGGTGGGCCAGAACCGGCGGCGCGACACGCCGAGCCAGACTTCCCGACGGTAAAAGCGCCCGCGGCGGGGTCGTCGCCGCGCTGGCACGGCGCGAGCCTGCCGTGGGTGAGCTCTCTGCCGTGCAGGCGCTGCCGGCGCGGCCGGTGCCCCGGCCGCGCCGCGAGCCCCGCACGCGCTCGGGGGGCGGCTGCTCCTGGCAGCGCCGCTGGCAGCGCGAGCAGCCCGGGGCGCCCTCGGACGAGCAGGGCGGGCTCACCCGGGCCACCCGACTTCGCGCATCGCGCGGTCATCCTCGCGCCCTCGCGCCGCCCCCTTTGGAGAGGGGGAGCTGCTCAGGCCCAGGCCGCGGCGCGGGAGGCGCGATTGTCTTCGCGCCCTCGCGGGCAAATTGGACTCACACGCTGACCGAGCGCAGTGTAACAACTAAGTGCAAGCCGTTGCAAACGTCAGATAATTACAAGCGGAAGAAATCACGAAAGACGGTCAGCTACGTAAGCATCCTGCCCTCTCCCCTCGTCTCCCCTCGTCTCCTCCTCCTCCTCCTCCTCCTCCTCCTCCTCCTCCTGCTGTCTCCCCCGATCCCCTCGTATGTCCTTGTCCTCCCTCCTCCTGATACCACTACTCCCTGCTGGGCCTCTCCCAGGACGCGTTCTGACCAGAAGTTCGAAGCGAATCCAGGCGTGGCGACGAGGGCCTCTCAAGAGGCCAGAGACGGCGAAAACGAGCACCCTCCCCCCTCACCCCTCCCTCCAAAAGGGGGAAACAAAAAAGGTCCCAGTACCGCTAGTTCCCGGACCTCTCCCGGGGGCACGTTTTGACCAGCGCTTCGAAGCGAATCCGGCCGTGGCGACGAGGGCCTCCCAGGAGGCCCGAGGCGGCGCATAGCGAGACAAGAGCAGCGGCGTCGGCACCTCGTCCTCCTCCTGCTCCCCCCTCCCTGCCTCCCTAGGCATGCCCATCTCCCTCCCTTCTCCCCCCCCCACTTCAGCAGCAGGCGGCGCTCGACGAGGACGCGAGGAGGCGGGCCCCGTGGAGGGGCAAGGTCTCATTTTCCCACGCCTTTCGGCCCGTTCCTCCCAAGTTCTTCTCGTGGCCTCCCTGGGTTAAAGTCCCCAGGGGAGGGAGGCTTTAGCAGTAACAACGGCACCTCGCCCATGGCATTGCCCCACAATCACCACCCCAAACCCCTCTCGGGCGCGGCCTAGCCGACCCCCAGCAAACCATCCCCTTCCGTGACGTCCCCTTCGCCTCTAAACCTTCCCTCTCCGGCCGCATACATACATACGTCTTGTGGCGAGGCGAGGGGGTTGTCCCGGGAGGGGGTGGCTTACTGGGGATCGGTTGGGCCGCCCCTGATCCCCAGTCCCCACCCCCCCTCCCCCCTCCCCCCCAAGAGCGACGACCCCGCACGGAAGCGCTGCCGCGTGCGGTTGTCCAGCATCCGGAGGAGGCTGTCCTCTCGCTCCTTGGCCTCCTGTGCGTGCGTCAGGGCGACCTCGCGCGCGGAGGGGACGGGACACCAGTGTCGGCGGCGCGCCGATGGGGGGGGGGGCCTGGGAGGTTCGGGCGCTCGGCTCTCTCTGCGCTCGGCTCCTCGTCGCCGCCTCCCTCCTCCTCCTCCTCCTCCTCCTCCTCCTCCTCCTCCTCCTCCTCCTCCTCCTCCTCGCCGTCCTCCAGGACCATATGGGGCAACTCTCGGGCGAAAGGCCCCGCGGGGGGGGGGCGCTGAGGCTCAGGGGGGAGGAGCATCGATGGGGGCACTGCTAGTCCGACGTTCGAGGTTTTCGTCGGCTCTCGGCGGCTTTCCAGCCTCGGGGTGCTCGCCATCAGCTGCGGCTGCGCCTTGCCGAGAACGTTTCTGTGGTGCCCGGATCGTCCCGAACGGCCGCCCGAGGCCCGAGCTATGACCCGAGAGCAAGGCGTGGCAGGGCGCCGAGGGGGGAAGCGAGAGGGGGCCAGCATTCTCAAAGGCGGCGGGGCCTCGCATAGGCCCCTCTGGCCTTCTGAGAGGCTCCGTGTGGCTTCCCAGAAGGCCTGGAGAGCTTCTGGGAAGGCGGGAGGCCTTCCGAGCCTTTTGAGAGGGCCCGCTCCCTCTGCCTTCCCCCAGGCGCGCAGCCGGCAGGCGGCGGGACGTCAAGGTGGGATACACAGGGGCAAAGCTCCCCTACGGGGACAAGCCCCACTCTGCGCTCCTCTCCCGAGGCCAGAGAGAGGTAGCGGCGGAGGGGGGAGCTCTGAACAGTCCAGAGGAAGGGCCTGACGAGAAGATGAGGGGCAACGATAGGGGGGACAGGCACAGGGGGGTGCATTGACCTCGACTGGCCGATGAATCACCCATGTATCGTCGATGCCTTGTCGATGAAGACCCCCCTCATGTAAACGCCCATACATCGTCGATGCATCGCCCTGATATCAACGATGCATCGTCGATGTATAGCCATTCGAGCTCGATGCAGCCCCCCTATGCCCCCAACCCTGTATCGTTGCTTCTGAGAAGAGAGCGGCGGCGGCGGCGACGATGACGACGGCGACGACGGCAAAAACGGCGGCAACGGGCCCGTGAGAGCCGCTTATGGGCCACAGAGCGACCCCCATGTACCTCCTATAATACGGTCTCGGGAGGGCCCCAGGCAGCCCCAAGAGCAAGCCAAGGACGTCCCAAGACGACCCTGAGGCCCAAGACGCCTAGGCAGGGCACCCAAGAAAGCCCAGAGCGGGCCCCAGAAGAGCCCCAGGACAGCCCCGGTGCGGCCCACCACGTCCACTCCAATCGCGTGAACTTGTTGGAGTTCCCAGTGGTCCCGGCGACACTTCGGAGAACCAGAATTCATCCACAGCCGAGCGGAGTCTGTATCGATCTTCGGCCGAAGACTCCTGTTGCGTTTCCACCAAGGCAAGGATCGGCAATGCCTCGCCGCAGATGTCTTCGATGACCCCTCCGCGTCGTACCAGACGTGTCGCTGGGGCGGGCTGGGCGATTCGACTGACAGCTCCTCAAACAGTCATCCTGACATGGTCGTGCTGAAACGTGAACTCCGCCGACCCTGTGCCGGCGTGTGTGAGGGGGAGTTTGTCGTCCCCGGGCCGTCCTTAGACGCGATGTTCAGTCGATGTCGCTCCTCCACTCCGGGACGACTTTCCCGAGACTTCTTTGGCGCGCCGAGCTCGTCAGCTCGAGGTGAAGCGAGGCAGGTCGCAGTCGCAAGGCCCTGCCAGTATCCGACCGCAACGCTGACGCGGCACAGACAGAGCGCTTTCGACGTGCGGCTCTCCCCTCGGCGGCACGGGGCGGGCGAGCGGCACGGAAAGGTCTCCTATGGCACGGAGGCCCCGGGATTCCTCCAAGAAGGTTTTCCCCGCGGGGTCTCCACGGGGGCCGCTGGAGGCCCCGGGAAGGACCGAACGCGGCCTGACCCTTCTCGCCCTGCTCGGGTGCGCGGGGGAGCGAAGCGAAGACGAAGCGAACGTCGGAGCCGTGCGCGCTCCACTGAGGAGCCCGCGTGTGCCCACGAGGGGATGGCGCGGAGAGCGTGGACTCGAGAATCTGAGATGTGCGCGGGCTCACGCGATGACCACCATTCGGACGAACCGCTGATGCCGATATTCTGCGTGGTGGGTCCCTCCGCGTCGCTCCAAGGAGTGGCCAGGTCTTTTCCCGGGTAGCGATCGCATCAGTGGATTTGCATGGCCCGAAACATGTGCGCGGACGGGGGGGGCCAGGGGACGTGTTGGAAGAAAAAAGCGCGCTCTGCGGACGCCGGGAAAGGGAGCGGGGGGGTCCAACCGGGGAGGCCACCCTCTGAAATGGAAGGGGGTGGGGGGGGGTCGTACCGGGGGAGGGGGGGGGGCAGCAAGGGGGGGGGGACACGGGGGGGCCCCCCCAGGATTGCAGGTGGGGGTTCGAACTGGGGGGGGAGGGGGGGCCCTCCAGGGGGGGGGGGGCCCTGTAGGGCGGATCGTTTGTATCATTTGACTTATTCTTCTTTGACGTGATTTTGAGAATTCTCTCTCTCTCTCTCTCTCTCCCTCCCTCTCTCTTTCCCTCTCTCCCTCCCTCCCCCTCTCTCTCTCTCTCTCTCTTTATTGTAAGGCGCCACAAAAGGATTCCTTTTGTAAGGCGTCAGAGAAGGAATCCTTTTGTGGCGGATCTTGAAGTCAAATTTCTAAGGGGTTCAGAAAAAGCAAAAAAACAGAAAAACCAACAAAAGCAGAAACAAAACAGTCACAAGATTGAGGAAACACTGTGTTTTCACAGGTTTCATTTGTTTCTGAATCAAAAATTCAATGGTTTTACTGTAAAAACATATGGTTTTGATTGATTTTCAATGTGTTTTGCAAAAAAACAATCTTGGGACCAGATGATCCCTGTGCCTGCACAGGGATCGTTGAGGTTTAAGGCTGCTTTTCAAACAAAAAACTAATGGCATCCAATGAAAACCATATGTTTTTACAGTAAAACCATTGAATTTTTGATTCAGAAACCAATGAAACCTGTGAAAACACAGTGTTTCCTAAATTTTATGACTGTTTTTTTTGCTTTTGCTGCTTTTGCTGCTTTTCTGGGGCCTTGGAAATTTGACTTCAAGATCCGCCACAAAAGGAGTCCCTGTGTAACCAATCCCTTTGCAATCCTCCACACAAGGAATCCTATTGTAATCCTCCTTAAATGAATTTCCTTTGCAATCCTCCACAACAGGAATCATAGTGTAATCCACCGCAAAAGGAATCCTCTTGTAATCCTCCACAAAAGGAATCCTATTTGAATCCGCTCCCAAAAGGAATCCAGGACAGAGATCTGACGCTGACGCCCCGTCGAGCTCGCAGCGGCGCCGCGGCGTGCCGCGGGTGTTCCTGGATTCCATGGGAACGCGCGCGGCGCCTCGGTCGCCGCTGCTCGCGCGACGGCGCGTCTGCGTGCGATTTCCAGGACGGCAACCACATGCTACGACCGCTCGGATTCCATGTAGACCACGCCCCACCGTCGCGCGTGCGCAGCGGCGGGCGCTTCGTCGTGGACGACGGGACATTCGGGTGTAACTTCTGGGAGGTTAATTTCTGGTGTTGCTATAGCTCCAAGTCGGTGCACTATTTCTTGTTATCCTGCCAAACGTTGCTTCATCCCCATTCGTGCTTACTTCGCGGCCACATTCCGCGAAGTAGGTTCGCTATGAAGCCTACAGACAAGGCGCATAGTACGGATGCGCAAGGTTTCAAGGACACCATTGCATCCACAAGTTTTACTTTCCGTCCTTCTGCGATGCATTCCCGAGAACCGCCGGCGCGGCGTTCCGAGGCCCTGCATCTTTACCGCGCATCATTTGCTATCTGCCTTGGCTGAAATCCTTCCCGGCCCTTCAGACGGAAACATCTCAGTAGTTGCATCCTCAGGAACGGTCGCGCATATGGGTTGCGCGTGGGTGAGAACGCCATCGCCAGCTTCCGCGGCGGCAGCGCAGAGCTGATTTCCTTGCAAGAAGCCGAGGAGATCATCGCTGACGCGGTGTCTGGGACACAGAGGATCTTCGAGGTGTCGCAGGCCGACTTAACTTCATGCGCCACTGGAGTGAACGACGGCGACTCTCTCTGTGGTTCGCCTGTGAAGTTCCCAGCGGGGGCCATGCAGCTACTGAAGGAGGAGGTGAAGAACTTCTCGGACCACAGCTCCTGCAAGGATAGCCAGGGTCGGTGGCGGTGCCCGCGTTGCCCGAATCGGCACTTCCAGCTGCTAGAACGTCTCGAAGGCCACTTCAAGTACCACAAGAAGCAACCGCTGCTGGGAGGTACGGCTGGCCGACAGGCGATGGTCATTGAGAATCTGGCGAGGCTGGATCAGATCAGGAACTGCGTTTCCGAGCTGACAGGCGCTCGGCTGAGATGCGGGATTGGTTATCTGCGTCGCAGCGCCGAGCTTTTGCGGAATTCCATTGGCGTCGACAACATGAAGAATGTTAACGACGTCCGCGCGCATCTCTTGCTGGACGTTCGAGGCCCTCGGTTCGTAGTCGAAGACGAGGGCGTCAGGGTCACGCGCAACTACCGCGTCACTCCAGAGTTTCTTCTTCTTGTGGTTTCGTTTATTGATTCTCGCACGCAGTCCAAATACCTGCGCATTCGAGACCGCGTGATCGAGCATTACATTTCCACTGGCAGTGAGTTATGCTTCGCGACCCTCAAGTTTCGCGAGGTTTGGGTGAAGATTTATCAAGCTGGGATTCAGATAGCTGATGTATACAAGAAGAAATGCATGGACCAGCTGAGCTTCCGAGTGATGTCCTTCGATTCGTCGCACAAGTACACGCTTTCGGTTGTCGGCCAGAGAAGCCGCGGGAGGAAAAACAGCGCTGCGGACCGTTCGGGATTGCATTGCGTTCACGTCATGGTCGCTGACGGAGTCCCCGTGGCCTGCAAGCTAGGTTTCAGCGAAGGCGTTCCAGAGCTGGCGAGGTTCATGAGGTCGAATACATGCCGTTCGCAGGGAAGCCAAACTGAGATTGTGTTATTTGATTCGCCGGAGAAGTGGAGCTTGCAAGACGTGCAGAAACTGTTCCCAAACGTCAAATGCGTTGGCGGAGACCCTCTTCATGCCTGGATGCACTTGGCGAAGTTCGTCAAAGAAGGCGACCAGCTCTGCAGGGACATGAAGAAGGTCATGCTGAAGTTCAACGGAAAGCCAGCGCCGACCTTGAAAAACAAGCGGTACTTCGACGTCGGCCAACCAAGAGGACAAAACCAAGGTAATTTCGAAGCTCGCCCCTGTGAGCTCCGCAAGGCTTATGACAGAATCCAAGATGGTACGTACCAGAAGAAGGCGTATTTGGATCACAAGCAGTACTGCATCGACGTCATGGCGGTGATGAGCATGAATGTGAAGGCGTGCGAAAGGCCGCTCACAGGACGTAGATCCAAGTCGACAGTCCGCGACCTGCTCTCGAGGTACATGGCAGCGTCGCGTTTTTTTGTTTACCAGAACATACCAGTCTACAAAGCCAGAACTGGTTCATCGTGTACCTTCGGAACAACCCCAAATGAGGCGGCCATGTTCCAGCTAAAGGCGTACAACGCAAACGTCTTCACGTCAACCCCCGAGCGATGCAGGCGTACTTTAGACCTTTTCTCGTTTGGAAAAGTGATCGCTCTGCACATGAAGAGGCGCGCTCCAGAGGGAATGCTTGACATCAAGGCGGCGTCTTGGCACGCCCACGCGATGGCAATCTTCCGCCAGCAACTCGAGCAAGGTCTCATGGCCATTCCCAAGTCGGTTAAGTTCGAGGAGTGGCGCGAGGCCCCAAAGAAGAGCAAGCGTAAGCGCACTTCCTCCGCTGGCCCAGCTAAGCGCCAGAAGTACTAGATGATGCCCGCGGCTTGCAATGCCTCCCTTTCCTCCGCAAATGATGTTGTTACATACATTCGCGATGTGCGTACTTGAAAATATGTGTGGGTTGCATTTTCGTTTGCGCTGGGAGGCCCCAGCTATTCCGCCGACCCCCCGCGGCAACGCTCGACTTACTGCGCGCGAGGGATTGCGCCTGCGCTTGCATTGCGTTGCACGTGCATTACGTTTGCGTTGCTTTTTGTTGCAGTAGCGAAGAAATAGCGGGAGGGAGAGAGGACGGAGAGTGGTATAATGGAGGGAGGAGGGAAGAGGAAAGGAAAGGAGGGTGAGCGACGAATATGTTAAGATGTGACGCGTCGTATCCCCAGACCCCTGAGAGCCGCCACGTGCGCGGAAAGCCGCTTGGTCAAATCGCACAAACGATCCACCGCACGGGGGGGCCCTCCCTGCCCTTTGGCAACCGACGGCGGAAAGCGCCGGCGCTGGCGCTGGCGCCGTCGGGCAACGACGACGAGGGTCGCGCTACTAAGGCTGGATCGAACCCTAGTCACATTCTATGAGAGCTAGGTTGAACCGCAATATGATTCGATTGGCGATGGATCTAGCTATGATAGGATTCTGTTCGAGATGGACTGAGCGTTAGTAGGATTCATGGGATCCAATTAGATCTGGATCCAGCGAGAATCGGATTATATTAGAGTGTGACCGCGCCCGGCATGGAAGCTATAACAACAGTTAGATGCAAATGCACTTGGATCAGATTGGAATTTGTTCGGGCACTACTAGGACTCTATAGGGGAGGGGGGGCCTCCCCTCCCGATTCGACCTCCCCCCCTTGGCCCCCCGTGGACAGGAGGGGGGAGAAGAAGGTTTGAACCCCCTCTCCTTGTTGTAGGGGGGGCTGTCAGAGAGGCCAGTGTCCCGCCCGCCCCCCTGCAGTTCTCTACAGTTCTCCGGGCGCTCCACTTGTTTCAGGGGCGGTGGGAGGTTCCGACGCGTCCTGGGATTGTGTCGAGCAGCCGTCCACGAAACGTCCTCGACGCCTCGAGCCACCGGTCAAACTTTTGCTCTCGCGCGAGCGAGCGCGGGGTCACACGGCGCGCGTGGTGAGGGCCTTTCTCGTCCGAGGGCTCTGGCCAGCTGGGCGCAGCCCTGTGGCCCGTGGTCGGCACAGTCGGGCAGACCATCCCCGGGCCCGAACAGAGTCATGAGCAGTCAAAAGCTGCGGGTGACCGCCGCTTCGATCAGCTGCTCCTTCGCCCGGGGGAAGGGGTGCGCTCCAAAGCATCAGGGTGGCAGCGCGGGCCGCTGCTCCACTGAACCGCCAGGGGGACGTCGAGCCGATCGGAGGCCCGGGGGAGCAGTGGATGACGACGTGCGCGTGGGCAAGCTCCCCGTACCTTGCGAGTCTCCGAGATAGCTCCGTGGAAGTTCGAGCCGGTGATCAGTACACCACCTCAGAGCGTGTCTGCACCATCTGCACCTTCAGCCTGAGCCTCCAAAGAGCCTGCCGTCCAGCTCCCTGAAGTCCACCTCGGTGCGCACCCGGTGGAACGTCGCGGCGGCGAGCGAGGGCGGACCACCGAGGGGCAAGTTCCCGCCGTAGAAGCCCGGCACGTCCACCAGCGGCACGCCCAGATCCGTGAGACACTTGGAGATGATGAAGTCGCCCGCGGAGTAGCCCAGTGAGCGCCGCACCACCTCTTGAGCAAGGACTGGCCGCCCCAACATTCCTACAGGCCTACCACGACGCGCTCTGAGAACGAAGTGATGTTCGACCAAGTTCTTACAAGAAAAGACTGCAGGACACGCAGGGGGTGGTATCTGAGGGCGGCCGCCATCCGTGACGGTCGCCCAGGGCAAAGCAAGCATGGCATATTCTCGACACCATATAGGGGGGTACGCAAAGGGGGTGTCTCTGAGGGCGGCCGGTATCCGTGACGGTCGTACGGGGCATAGCAGGCGTGGCATATTCTCGACACCATAGGGGGTGCGCAGGGGGTGGTCTCTGAAAGCGGCCGCTATCTGCGACGGTCGTCCACGGCATACATATTCTGGACACCACAAGGGGTGCGCAAGGGGTGGTCTCTGAGGGCGGCCGCCATCCGTGACGGTCGTCTAGGGCAAGGCAGGCGTGGAATATTCTCGACACCATCGGGGGTGCGCAGGGGGTGGTCTCTGAGGGCGGCCGCTATCCGTGACGGGCGCCCAAGGCAAAGCACGCATGACATATTCTCGACACCATCGGGGTGTGCGCAAAGGGGGTCTCTGAGGGCGGCCGCTATCCGTGACGGTCGTCCAGGGCAAAGCAGGCGTGGCATATTCTCGAAACCGTGGGGGTTGCGCAGAGGGTGGTCTCTGAGGGCGGCCGTTATCCGTGACGGTCGTCCAGGGCACAGCAGGCGTGGCATATTCTCGACACCATAGGGGGTGCGCAGGGGAGGGTTTCTGAAGGCGGCCGCTATCCATGACGGGCGTACAGGGCATTGCAGGCGTGGCATATTCTCGACGCCGCAGGCGGTGCGCAGGGGGTGGTCTCTCAGGGCGGCCGCAATCCGTGAGGGTCGTACAGTGCATAGCAAGCGAAGCATATTTTCGACACCATAAAGGGTTGCGCATGGGGTGGCCTCTGAGGGCGGCCGCTATCCGTGACGGTGGTGCTCAGGGCACATCGGCACGCAAGCCCCAATTTTCCCAGCCAGCTGGTGGGGTCAAAGTGGCGGTTCGCCAGTAACGCCCAGGCTTTTGCCGTTTCTGGGCCCCCTCAGGGTATTCAGGCTCCCAAGGCTTGGCTGGCGCCACTCAAGGCATCGACGAAGCAACGGCCACCAACATCATTCTCGCAAGTTTCACATCAGCTATCATCACGCCAGACATGTTATAAGTATGTGGGGTTCTTCAGTAACGTAATTCCGTTTCTGACGGTCCTGGGGCCCAGCGAGGGTTCCCAGAGGCCGACAATTGCAAAACTCCTCCGCCTTGAATTCCGCGAGATGTTGGAGGTCTGGGCCCCGGTCGAACCGCCCGAACCCGTCGAACAGGTCAAACCGGAACCGGCTATAGCGGTTCAAGCGGATCAGTCGAACCGGCACGAACCGGGCCCGCCAATTGTCGGCGGCGAGCCCAGTGGGGAAGTTAGGAGGAGAAGGCCTTCCCAGGAGGCTCGCAAGTCCCACGTCTTCTGAAAAGTTTCTGAGCCTTCCCAGAAGACACAGAAAACTGTTCAGAAGTCGCGAGGGCTTCTGAGAAGTCCCGCCACCTTCTGAGAAGGCCTTCCCCTTCTCACTTCCCCCCCGCTCGCCGCCGAAATTGAACCGGCACGACGCGCCAAGCTGAGCAGGAAACCAGGTGCGGCACGACACGGCACGACCCGACACGGGCCACTCCTGCTCTTAGAGCACGAGCCGACGCATTGGAAAAAGATGGCCTCAGCCAGAAATGTTCTAAGAGCATCTCGTGCAAACCACAGAAGGCTCGTGGGACATCTCTTGGTGGGCCGATGGGCGCGTCAGATCGCTTCGCCGCTGCTCGCACCTCGCGGTCGGCGGCCTCCAGGTGCTCCGCCAGCAGCCGAACTGCGGGGTTGCTGCAGACGATCCCCGACCAGTAAGACAGCAGGGGCCTGTCTCCTCGCTCGTGGGCGCCGAGGCACACGGGCGCCCCCGCATCGACGCCGCGGAGGATCCGCCCCAGGGCGTACGGGTTCAGGAACACGTCGTCGTCGAACACGGCGAACCAGCGCGTGCGGGGGTGGCGGAGCAGGGCCCCCTGGAGGCCATAGTGCCCGAGGTATATGCTCGCCGTGTAGGTGTTGCAGTCCAGCAGCCAGTAGTCGGGGCACGGTATCCTCCGAGGAGCACGGGGCGGCGCAGGCAAGAACTGTCGGAGTTCCGGGCGGACTTCCCTGGGTCGGCGCTCGCCCCCCCTCCCAGGGCGGCGCTGGAGGCGCCCCCGGGGGGGCCTGGCGCCGATCCAAGAAACCCGGGCCGAGCTCCGAAAGTTGTGGGCACGACGTGATTTCTCCTTCGAGTCCTTAAGACCCCATCTTGGCGGCGACCGCGGGGGGGAAGTGAGAAGAGGCGGGCCTGCTCAGAAGGCTTGGAAGTCCCCCAGCTTCTGACAAGTTTTGCAAGCCTTCCCAGAAGACACAGACAATGTCTCTGAAAGCGCGAGGGCTTCTGAGAAGTCCTGCCGCCTTCTGAGAGGGTCTTCCCCTTCTCACTTCCCCCCCTCACTCGCCGCCGACCATCGCCCTCGAGCACCGAGCCCACGGGATGGTCGCCCTCCTCGGTGACGAAGTAGGCGCTGCGAGGAGACACGCGGCGGGCCCACGTCTGGAGAGCCCCAGCGACTCGGCCCCCTGGCCGGAGCGCCGCCAGCTGCGACATCACCACCACGACCAGCTCCCGGGACCCCAGCGCGTGGCGGACCTAGGCAACCAACCCAGACCCCTCGAGTCATGACAAAATCACGGCTGGAAATTTTGTGTGTCTGTATGTATGTATGTATGTATGTATGTATGTATGTATGTTTGTATGTATGCATGCATGCATGCATGTATGGATGGATGTATGTATGCATGCATGTATGTATGTATGTATGTATGTATGTATGTATTTATGTATGTATGTATGTATGTATGTATGTGTGTATGTGTGTGTATTTATGCATGCATGCATGCATGTATGTATGTATGTTTGTATGTATGTACGTATGCATATATGTATGTATAGGCAGATGTATATGTATATGTATGTGTACATACAAATATAAACATATATATGTATGTATGTATGTATGTATGTATGTGTCTATATATATGTATATATATATATATATATATATACATTCCTCTTCCTATATTTTTGCAAGCCTGGGCGGGGGGGAAACCCGTCCCCCCCCCCAAAAAAACGGACTCTCGGGATCTGGGGCTTTGGGACCCTTCGGACGGGCCTCGAAGCGGCCCCCCGGGCCTCGCAGGGCGTTTTGCCAAGCCTTCGCAACACACCTAGGGCGATCAGGGGGGTCATCGGAGACGTCCCATAGAACCCCAAGACAACACAAGAGCGCTCCAAGAAGCCGTCATACCGCGAAAGATCGCTCCAAAACATACCAAGAGGCCTCCAAGAGCACCCCCAAGAAGGCCCCAAGAGAGAATAATCATAGATTTCATGTATGTTTTTGGTGAATTTCGGGTTCTCCTCTTTTCGGCTTCCCGACGCTCCAAGACAGCGGTCTTCTGTGCGTCCGAAGTCGCCTGGGAGGCTCCAAAATCGCCCCGTAACCATCCGAAAGGGCTTCCAGGCAGTCCAAGAGAGCCCCAGAACGGCACAACAGGGGTCCAAAATGGCCCTAAGAGAGCCCCATGGCGGCCCAAGATGGCCCCAAGACACCCTCCAAAGCATTCCACATCGTGACCGGGGCGTTCAGGGAGACTGCGGTTAGAGGCAGGTTCGCCTTAGGAAGCCCCAGAGGCGCCCAGAACACGCCCAGGAGGCCTCCAGAAGGCTTTAAGAAAGCCTGAGAACTTTGGTGAGGCCCCAGAGGCTCTCCAAGGAGGAGCCACCGCAAAAAGAGCTGAGGAGGATGGGGAGAATACCCAGGGGATGAGCGAGAATGAGGAAAAATAAGAATGCAGGAGGTATAACGAACAACATTATTATAACGGCGATGCCAGAAAAGGCAGCAAGGAGTTATCGCAAAATTGTCCGCCTGACCTTCCTACCATTTCCGCCTGCGTACCAATCTTCAAGGACCAAGGTGCATGGCGCGAAGCGCCACTGCAGTCTTGTATATATTCATATGTTTATTTATCTATAGATTTATTTATTACACATATATGTGTATATGTATATGTATATGTATATGTATATGTATATGTATATGTATATATATATATATATAGATCGGCCTCCAGGGGCCCTCGCAGGGCCTCGCGACCGTCAAAAACGACGCAGGAAGAAAAACAGTCCTGGGAAATGGGTCGACGATGCGAACAAATCGTGTCGTCGGGGGTCGGGGAACCCCACCCAAGCAGGTCAGATCTCAGACAGCTCGGCTGGGGTTCCGAAGCTGATGGATGGCTCCAGCCAGGTGAACCTCAGCGGGTGCGTCCGAGACCCCAGGGTCGACTGGACCCGCAGGGGTAAGGTTCGGCGTCAAGCATCGCCCGTTGGTTTTCGGGTCATCATTCGGCTCTGCAGAGGCCGGTCGGGAAGATCGAGGCAGCCCCAGAACGCTTTCGGGTGAGGCGCAGCTGCTGGAAAGCATTCCGACGCTGCAAGAACGCCGAGAACCGACGAAAACGCCCGCGAACCGATCCCCCCCTGAAGTAGCCTATCTCACGGGGGGATCGGTTCGCGGACGTTCTTGGCGGATGTCGGATGTCTGGGGTCTGGGTACCACTCAGGGGTACCCTGACATCCGACGTTCCATTTTTCAATACGCGGTTCCTGGAAAACCCGACCCCTCCCCAGTATCGTTTTTGTTCACTCGGGGCCATTCTTCCACGGTCGCAGGGACCAGCGAGGCCCCCCGAAGGCCGACAACTATATAGAAAACGCCATGCTACCCTGAGATCCGACGTAGCGAAACATTGCAACATGGTAGAAAATCACGCCCAAAGCCCTGGACCTCATCTTTGCGCATCATGTTTCGAGCCGGATCGATCTGGGAAGGTCCCGGGGCCCGAACAGAGGCGAAAACGCCCGGCTCGAAAAGATTGAGACGCCAAGATCTCAGGGTCGATTCCTCCGATTTGGATCGGGCCCACAGGCAGTCGCAGAGAGGACCGTCCCGTTCGGCGCAGGGGCCACTGGCAGCTCCCGAGCGGCGGGGGGCCCCAGGAGGCCAGGGAGGCCGGGGCGCAGGCCCGGGCCCTGGTCCTCGCCCATGGCGCCGCCGTTCGGGCAGATGGGCGGCTCGAGGGCGCCAAACCTGAGCCCAGAGCGCGGAGCCCAGACCCCAGAGCCCCTCGAGCCACGGAAAAATGCCGGCAAGAGGCTTTTCTGGATTTTCAACATCAAAAAACCCTTGCCTGGCCTCGCGACCGTCCAAGAACGACTCGCGATGAAAAGCGGGTCCTGGGGAAGGGGTCGAGACCTCTGGGGGTCGGCGTTACACAAAGGATACTGGCGTCGGGGGTCTGGGACACTCGGCGAACGTACGTATCCATATCCACGTCGTCGCGGTCTGGGTTTACGGGGCGCGCTTCTGCGGAGGCGCGGTCGCACGGGTGCGTTCCGCGCGGGGCATCCGAGGAGAAAAAAAACACACCTTATCCGCGGGACCGCGGCCCAGAGGCAGCCCCGCGACGTCGTGGATACCGATGTGTTTTTCACCCACGAGAACCACATGGAGCGTTTCCACATGTGGTGCGCCACCTTTTTATGAGAAGGGAACAAAAACACTTTTCTTGTCGCGGCGCGGCAGAGGCAATCCGCTGGGCCACGCAGTCGCGAATTGGCCCGCATGATTTTTCCCCATGCGATATTATCGCCAGTATTGCAATGCTCAGTCCAGCACCTGAACCATGAGCCGAACGGCTATGACAAGAGAGAGCAGGATGCCACAATGGCATAATGCTACTACCTGCGAATCATGCTGATGGGATGCTCGCGCGGTCAAGCGGAGGCTGCATCAAACACCCGCCCCATTGTTGCATCGAGGCTGCCATTGGCCAAAAAACAAATCTGAGCACATACAATACTGACAACATTAGATGCATCCACTGATAGGCAGCACGAGCGAGGTCAAAACATTCAGGGCCCCGTTGGCCGTCGAATGTGATGGGCACGCGGCCATCTACGCACTGGCTTGCAACCGTGACACATTTGTCGTGTGTGTGACCCTCTTCCGTGGGCTGGGCAGGAGGTAAGAGCTCTGCGGGAGACACTTCGTCGATCGACACTGGCTGTGAAACCGAAGCTCCCGGCTACCCGTTGAAGGGCCGCACAAAATACAACTCCGCAGTGGCACCCCACGACCACCAAGAAAAACAGATGTGTGCCAGCGGTGTGTGAAACGTTGGGGGATGCCCTCGCATGTCCTATTTTTCCATGAGCGACACCGAGCCACCTATCTGGATGCTCTGCCCGGGACCTATATGCCTGAGTCTCGCCTCTTGTGATATCTCCCTGTGCTGTCTTTGCTGCTCGCGCACAAACCAGTGGACGCGTTTCAAGTGCGAAATGAGATCGTTGACGTAATCCTCGGTGAACGCCCTGCTGGCACCAACGGTTGGCTTAAAAATGTGCCTAAAGGCATTAGTGGTTTCAGCCCGTATACAACCTCGCAAAGCGTGTACTTTCCATTGAAAACCTCATTACATATGGTTCGGACAGACAACTGAAACATCGGCGCAGCGTTGTCCCATTGCGCGACATCTGTTTTAGAGAAATGACAACAAGTTCTATAGAGTCTGCAGGCCCCTCCACGGCCGATGGCGCTCGCGGGCTTGCGCGGCACCAAAGCGACGGGACCGAGACAACGACCTCGACGAACGCGCGTGCTCGACCAGAGATCGCGGCGACCCCCTGTCGAAAATTACCCGCCAGCTAAGCGTCGCGCTGCTGTTTCCGACGTGCTCTTTGGGTTCGGCACTGCCCAGCGCCGCCCGCTCCGCGCACACGCGCATGTACACGTGCATTCCCCCCCACGCGATGTCTTCGGCTTGTGGGGGCGCGCAAAACTAATGATTGAATGCGGCTCCGCATGCGACCCGTCGCAATAGGATTGGCCTTCGACGACAACCACGCCAAACGGTGCTTCGCTGCGGTATCGACGGTTGTCCACATGTCCTTCCACCACGGGCCACTGTCAAACAAATCTCGGGCAGCGCTGCTCTGGTCTCTGCGACCGCGGAAAGGATTGACGCGGCGTGCGATGACGACATGCCGACGCACGTGCAACTGCGCCCTTTTCGCCGCCGAATGCCACGGTCTTCCACCCGCCGCGCGGAACTACAGTCAGCCATTCGAACTGGCCGCTGGCAAGTGCAAGCCTGCGACGCTGTAGGGGCCCTCCGCAGAGGCGGCCCCTGGCAAGAAGCGGCGAGGCTTCGTCAAAATACTTGCGGTCCCGCCCGGGGCGGCAAACCAACGCTGACGCGTCTAATTCAGTCATCGCGGCTTCGCAACAATTGATTTCTACGCAGTTGGCCTCGAAACGCACGCGGCTTTCAAGCCGGATGAAACGCGGGGCCCAACGCGCACTCGACCTCAACGGGGTCATGGAACCCGTCCGCCATGGCGCGCCATGCAAACTCGAATTCCCCCTGCGCCCCGGCCCGGCGCGAGACGACGTTGCGCGACGACCCGATGACATTAATCTGCGCTGGGCGCTGGTGTTTGCACGTTCTTCATTCGCAAAGTGGCGCGACCGCCAAGAATGAATCAAGAAATGCGACTTTGAACCGGCAATTGGTCGCCAGCTGCGAACGACAAGTGAGCTTGCCCCTGGGGCCCCCGGCCGTCGACGCAGGTCTTGTACATCGCGCGCGCTTCGCCCGCGACCCCCATGTCGCTTTCCGCGCGCCAGAGCGAGGCTTTCCCCTCGCTGGTCACTTCTAGCAGAATAGTTCCGCGGAGTGACATCAATGCGCGGGCCGCTGCGTCGCCGCCATGTTGGCGCAGCTGCCACAAGCAACCGCGCTCGATTCTTAGCGCCGCGAGGCAGGCGGAGAAACCAGCGCGGCAGAAGGAGGAAATAATAAAGAAACCTGGAACTTCCAACTCCTCCCGGCGGTCTTCGATGCACGGACTTTTCGAAGGCGCGCGCGAAAAAGTCACCGGCGCCCCCTCGAACCCTACCTGAACCGCATAGCCCAGTTGGACCGCGCAGGGGTCCCTGCTGAGCTCAGTGCAAATGTCGGTGCCTTCCACTGACAAACGCACGTCCGCGGCACAAGCTTGCCGCGCAACTACTCCGCGATTTTCATCGGACCCTGGGGCCTCGACCATACTCCACGGGCAACGTCGAGAATGGCCACTTGGGGCGGGCGCGCCAATGCCGCGACGCCCCTTCCACGAGCCGCTTGGCTTTGTCAGGCGCAGGAGAACATTCACTTCCATGGGCTCCCACTTCAAGAATCAACGCAGGCGGTGCGCTGCGCGACCCCGACAGCGACGCTGCGGTTGACGACGGTTTGTCGGCGCGTGCGGCGATGTACTCTTGCACTGCAAACGGGAAAGACAACGTCATTTTGCCCTTATGCCCCCTCACTTGCCCTGCGGAATTGCCGGCGCGCGCGATGATCTGAGGATGCATGATGTCAAGTACGTCTACTGGATGACCCCAACGCTTACACATCTCGTGAATTCGTTCTTGGACGCAACACGAGCACTCCAACCTAATGCTTCCCTGGGGGCGAATGCGTCGACGCGCGGGCCCCATGTCGGCCAATTTTTCCATTATGACGCCAACATCGTAGACTCTGAAGTCTCCCGAATAGTTCCCATGGTAACCGTTCGGCTTCACTGCGCCACAACCAAAAGAACCTCGAGGGCGATGGGCATCGGCGCGAACGTGGGCCGCGCGGGCGAGGGCAGCGGCCTTAGGCCTGCCGCGCCTGATGGCGCGGCGCCACCCTCGCGCTCGGCGCGTCGAGCTACCCCTGAAACGACCGCCCCGGATGTCGAGAATCTCGCGCGACAGGTTCGCGATCCAGTTCTCTTCGCCATCAACGCGTCGGTGTACTTTCGCGCTTTTAGCTGGGGCGCCGAGGAGTTCCTTCAGGAAATTGCGGAATTCCTGGAACTCCTCGTCAAACCGAGTTTGGTCTCGTTGCTGGACGCTTACTGCTGGGATCGCGCGGTTGGCTCGGTCTACCTGGCGCCGGCCTCCAGGCGCGAGGCATGTGGGAGGTGCGTTAAGCAGTTTCGCCGCGAAACTCACCCCCGAGACGGTCAGGCACTCGCCCTGCGCCCGCCGGGCGCTGAGGCCAGCGCGCATCCCGGGCAGGAAACAACCGGCTGTCTTAAGAGCGGCGGCGAAAGCTGCGGCTCATTCCCAGGGGCACGTCGCAACCAGGGTCGCGTTTGCCAGGCGCTGGCCCCGATCGCGGCGGTCGCGCGCGCGCGCGCCGCGCCCGCTCTCGCCAGCCAAGGCGCCTTTGTCAAGATAGCCGAACGCACTCGCCGGCGCCCCCGCGCGCCTCCGGCGCGCCCCGTGGGCGTCGCAGCTGCGGTACTTGAAGCGCGGCGCACTCTGCTTCGCCTTCTAGCTGCACGAACAAGCCCCGCTGACATACGGGCAACGCTACGTCTACGACATGGGTGGCCCAATGTCCTAAACAAGAACGCTCTGCGCTCGAACGGTAGGGGCGCGATGTGTGAGCGCGCAACGGGAGTGGCTCATGTGCCACCTGTTTCAAGAGGTGCGCATGTGTCTATTCAATGCGTTGCGTTTGTTTTGCGCTTGTTTCGGGCGCCTGGCGCGATCGCATCGCCGACGCGGCTCGGTCGCTATCCCGGCGATCAACTTCTAGATGCTATTCCCCGCTCGAAGGCAGACCGCCGCGCGGCGACATCGTCGAAGGCGCGAGCCTTCATTCCGACGGCTTGCAGCGCGCCCTCGGGCTCGGATCGCCGGCAGAACGCGACGCTCCGAGCTGCGCGGGAAGCGCCGATAAAACCTTCTAATTGGCAGCCGGACTGCCGCGGACGAGCGGCCTTTACACAATCGCGGTCGGCGAGAACTACGTTCTCGACCATGATGTCGATGGGCCACTTCCGCGCTGCATTGGCGTCGCAGTCAACTTGGCGCACGCCGAAATCAATGCCCCATCTGCTGTATTTGTCAAGAGGGTTTTACCGCGTCGGGGAACTCGGGCCCATGTGATTCACGCGCGAAGTGGAAATATGCGGCGCGAGAGACGACATCTGCACAGTATGTATGTATGTATAAATATATATATATATATATATATATATCACCTGGTGGCGGTGCATGTACGTATGTATGTATGTATGTGCATGTATACACACACATATCTATATATATATATGTGTGTATGTGCGTACGTATGTATGTATGCATGTATGACTGACTGCGTGGTATGTATGTAAATCTGCATGCATGTATGCATGTATGTATCTAACTGAATCTGTAGACGCCTCTGAAAGGCTTCTAGAAGCTTCTAGTCGCCTCTGAGGGGCTTCTAGAAGCCACCTTCTCTCCTCCCCCATCCCCCCTCCTTCTCTGGCTGGAGAACGACGCCTCCGAAGGGCCTCTGGGCGCCTCTGAAGAGCCTCCGGGCGACTCCGAAGAGCCCCTGGGCGCCCCTGAAGTGCTAAACGCCTCCGAAGAGCCTCTGAAGGGCTTCTAGACGCCCCCCCCCCTCCCTGGCTGCCCGCTTTGTTTCTATTTTCTCGCCGAGCCAAAG